CTTCCTGCCATGATTTCACGGGATTCATGTACATATGAGTGAAGAGTGAGATAGTACTCATTATTATGCCAGATATGAAGTACATTGGGAAGATTCGACTTTGGACTTGCGCAAACGCGCTTCTGGTCAACGTTTTAAACATCGTGAAGCCTGTGAGAACAAACAGAAATACCTTCATTAATTAATACTACAGAGAAAATTAACTTTCCCTGGGAAAACCAACAACTGATAAAAAACATTAATTATACATCATGAATCACAACGTTCTCTTGAAGGTTATAGATCTGATAGCCGAAAGCTCGTAAATAAAAATATCGTGTCAGAGAGCGTTGTGATTCATTGTAATAGACTTATTTCTCTAATTGTACCATGAAGTCGATGGTTAAGACTACTGGTAAAACTGGACTCTAAAGGCAACCCCCTCATCATGCAGGGTTTCTTATATTTCAGGTTTATTATTTTTTTATACAGGGTTTCTTGATGCTATATTGAACGTTGAGCTCTCTTAACTGTATCCCACTTGTCAACGACTCAAAATCGCAAGTTTCCCCGACTTGGTACGCGCACACGTTTTGGAATCAAAAACAGGCGTTAAAGTTGAACGAACAGTCTAATAAAAGTTTTAGCCAAAAATAATTTTAGAGCACTTTCTATAACTTTAATTTTGGGTGTACTCAAATGTTAGAGATAGATCTTACCTGACACTTGCACCCAAACTTGAATGCCAACCCACGTAGCAAACGTTAACAGATGAATGAAATTAATAGTTGAATCTAGATGTTTTCTTATAAACGATTCTTTCTTTTCTTTATTGTCGCTGGAAGAATAAATAACAAAACCCAGAGTGGCGACAAATGCAACAACATGGGATAAAGCACCATTATGACTCGGAAAGATGTTGTGTGCCGAGATTTTTCTTCGTCGTCCCATCTTTTCTTGAGTTTGGATAGTTGTAGTTTGCTGCATGTTTCTTTCTAGTTGATCACACAAAAAAATCTTCTTTTTTGCTTAGTCAAGCTTCACCTTATCCATGCACGATCAACGAGTCAGCTTATATAGGCACCTGGTCGCCTCTCGACCAATCAAAAAACGTCTGTGATGTTATGCACCTGATCAAACACTAAATTAACATTTGCTGTTTATTCAAAATATTTCTATAATGTTTACACAAAACATTTCAGAACTGACAGTTGTCGCGTGACTATGTTTGTTCCTGTGTGTTGACTGCACGTGCATGACTGTGTCCGTATGCAGGGGCGTAGGAACCGGGGGGGGGGGCACAGGGAGCACGTCCCCTCCCCCCGCCAAACTTTTTTCAGAGGACTATATAAAAGTGCCCTTTTGTGTGATGGAAAGTGCCCTTTTTGTTGCAAGCTAATGTCGCAAATAAATTATTTCAAACATTTTTTTTTTGCTTTACATATCTTGCTGTGAGTGAACCTCACATACCCAAGTCAAAAAGAAAATTCAAATTGCTGTGCCTTCCATTCTACAACAATAAATGTCCTTAGGTGTCTCATTTTGCCCCGCATTACCCTACACATCGTATATTAGTATGGTTCGGCTCACCGCACACTTTCGTTGAGTGCCAATGTTTATTGTTTAGGACGTAATTCTCCAAGATGTTGCTGTTAGAATTCCGAAATGTAATACGACCCGATATGAAGTCTGCGCTCATGTCGAATATTATTTCACTCAATATAGACACAATAAAAGTGCAACAGTGATGTACTTATACGTGATTCCTGTTCATGTTGAACTATATACAAGGGTGTCCCAAAAAACCCCGAAAACTATTGAAATCACCAATATTGTTAGATTGTTAGATTGTTAGAATTTGAATGCCTTAGCACTCTGCAGTTTGTTCCCACGAGTGCATAAATGATTGACATAAGTAAATCAGTTTATGCATAAAGAGACTATTTAAGAAGCTGCTTCAAATTCCCAAGAGCACAAATCGCGCACTTTACAAGGAGATGTTCTTGACTAAATTTTAATACATGCACCTTGTCAATATTTTACGCATCATTACGTTCAGCTTTTTGGTAGGGCATTCAAATTTTAACAATAAGTGATTTCAATAGTTTTCGGGGTTTTTTGGGCAGTGGCGTTAACGGAGGAAGAGGGGGCCCTTAAGGCGGTTTTCCACTAGGCGAAATTTTTCGACCGAATTGAAATTTCTCTTTGTTTCAGAGCTCTCGAGCAGAACTAATTGTAAAAAGACAAAGAGAAATTTCGTTTCGGTCGAAAAATTCCGCCTCGTGGAATCCGGCCTTTAAAGGCCTGATTCCACGAGGCGGAATTTTTCGACCGAAACGAATTACAATTAGTTCTGCTCGAGAGCTCCGAAACAAAGAGAAATTTCGATTCGGTCGAAAAATTTCGCCTAGTGGAAAACCGCCTTAAGGCCGGATTCCACGAGGAGGAATTTTTCGACCGAAACGAAATTTCTCTTTGTCTTTTTACAATTAGTTCTGCTCGAGAGCTCTGAAACAAAGAGAAATTTCGATTCGGTCGAAATTTTTCGACCGAATCGAAATTTTCTTTTGTCTTACAAGCACTCAGATGGAACTAAATAGAAATCTTTTGAATTTGAACAATAGAAATTTTGGAAAACCGCCCTTAAAAAGTCTGAATTTTCGCACAAAAGTTACGCAACTGCCATTGCTATGGCAACAATGACGTTTCAATATGGCTTTATTCCTTTAAAGTAGTTCAGCTCGAAAACGACATCGGTGACTCCAATTTTTATTTCATAAAATGGTTTTTCTTAGTATACTGAATTCCGTTGACAATTAAAAAAAAATTCTGTTGAGCCAAAAAATCGTGAATGTTCCATTTTTCCAAAAACTGTATTGAGCTACCTTAATCCCGGTTTGACTGCAATACACCACACTTACCTACACCCAGTTCTTAATGAGAGTAAAAAGACTTCTTGGCATCGTACCGGTCTCTTTCTTAGTGTAAAATGTTTGTCGCTAGGGAACATTAGAAACACGAAAAATTATGGGAAGCCATTTCGGCCAAAAGAGTATCGAGTTTCAAAGAGGTATCGAGTGGCAAAAATAGTGTATCGAGTCGCTTTGAAACAGCAAAATGATACCGAGAACCGCGGGAAGACTAGTCAACTTCTACATTTCCAAAAATATCAATATAGTCCACATGATCGACGTTTCTCGTGGACAAAATCGATATGTGAGATTCCTTTATTGATTCTCGGGAGAATTTTTGATGACTGATTTTGTTGTAAATTCTCGACATTTTATTTTGAGTCATCTCGATATGATATTTTTGGAAAATTAATGTAGAACTCGAGCAGTTTTCCCGCGGTTCACGGTACCATTTTGCTGTTCGCAAAGCGACTCGATACACTATTTTTGCCACTCGATACCCTTTTGGCCGGCATGGCTTTCCATAAAAAAATGCATTCACAATACGGTCTACTCAAACTAGATGATCCTAACAAAGGTGTTGAGAAATTTGTGTACTGTATATATAGCATCATTTACACATAGTCTACGTCGCGGGAATCTGTGTAACTGGTATGTCATATTCTGGACTTTCCGTTTCTCGCACATCACTAGGAATATGACGGTCGTCTGCTCTTTCTTCCTGAACAGCTCTTCCAATTCTTGGCAATTCGTCCACGTTTCCATTTCTCAATGGAGGTGCTTCTCTTCGAATAACGTTTCTTATCTCTTGACGGATGCAGTTTTCTAAAGCATTAATCTCATCTCTTCCTAATCTTCTCACTTGTGTTGGAGCAGGCCCAATTTCAAAGAAGCCAAATTTTATGCGAGATTTCGTGAATAACAATATGAACAGAAGTAAAAATATTGTAATTAATACAAACATTATAGGCTGCCATACAGTTGGGACTTTTTCAAGGAATGCGTTTAAACTTCTTCCACACGAATGAGCTACATATTCCAAAGGTTTGAATAACAAACGGGTAACTGTAGTTGAAAGGGCCTGAAAGAACCAAAATGATAGCTTTGTTTTAAATTTTGAAACTTGAAATTATTTGGTTCGTAGTTGGTCCTCAAAAATTACAAAACTTTTCAGAGCCATAGAGACCGCTCATTATTTATGGCGGGAGGGTGGCACCAAAGAGAAATGTTTTTCTTGGGAGAATTTTGCTGATCCAACCATTAAAAAGTCATAACATTTGTTTCACCAACTTCAAATATGAATTTAAAAATAAATACCCACCCCTGACGAAAAACATCATAAAAGGGTACCATTCAATTGTCACAGATGTCCTTTACAAATTCTGTAACATGAGTTTGATAACTGTTTGCGCAATTTTCTGCGGTCTAAAGTTTCATGTTGTCTGCGCCTCCTTCGACCTCCGCAGCTTTGTGTAAGTCGACTTGTTAGTGGCGTACGAGTTGTGTTTGGCTATTTCCATACCGATTGCAAAATGAGGGCTCTCGTTCACACTTGCTGAGTAGGTTTACTATTACTTAAGATGGGGGCACACAAAGGTCTACTATTATTTAAAATGGGGGCACGCAAATTCAGGTTTAATTAGTTTTCGTGGCTGTTTTTATTATTGGCGCGAGCATTTTTCCTCGTTTTGATAATACTTACTTGTATATTTCGCTGGCGTTCTGTGGGAATATTCGGCTGCGTAAGACTGTACAGCATAGGAATAGTTTTGAACTAATTTCAACGAATGCTTCAAGATATAGCGTACGCGTAGGTTGTTTAGGCATCGTGGGTTGTTTACAACTAATAGACTGCTTTAGCAAACACAACGCGACGTGAAAATGGTGTGCCATGTCGGATTTTACTTCCGGTTTAGTCTAGGACGTCTTCTACGTTGTGTTTAGGGGGGCATTCAGGGTGTTTTTACGTCCTTACGAGAACGTCACAAATTTTATGCTTATTTTTAAAAAAGTATGAGAGTATGCACCACAAAAACCATCCTATTTTGTTCCCCATATTTTCTTTGTTCTGATATTTCGCACTTTCATCGCCATAACAAAACAACAGGACTGCAAGTATTGTGGAAGGACCCAGGGGGGCGAAATTCCTGTGACACCGGACAGGACAACACGATTTACATTTTTAGTTGCATTTGTTGATTACGATAATCAACTGATAAATTTGGTCAATCTTCGGTTTAATGTGGGCACTTCTGGGGAACGACGGACCCTACCACTGGTTCGTGCTTGGCTCGGTGGCCTACAGAGTGAACGGTTTCGAAAAAAGTCCCTAAAAACCTACTCCGTCTCGGCAGAACTGTCACCTCACTGCTAGTTTTCGTGGGTTCCAAACGATGTTTTTGAGTCTCGATAGGCTAATAGAGCGGGATCCCCCAGAGACTGACCACTGATGATAGATTTTAATTCCGTGTCACCGATTGTCACCCCTTCGCTAGCATCTACTGGGCTCCCGTTGATATCAACCCATGTTGTTGGGAAGCGTCAACAATCCCCCTACCAAACCTTTCATCTCGCTGCAGGGGAGTTACATGCCTATGTCGACTGTTGGGAAACTATGGTGGACTATACTCCAACCGTTTATCAGAATAAAGTGTTAGGTTGGGTCGGCAAACAAGTGTCCATCTACCTTCATTTTCAACATCATCGAGGGAGTTTTAGAGGAGCGACTTACGATTCCGACATACTTCCGACGTCTCATTATTTGAACAATGTCTCTTGTGAGCCATTTGTTCAGTTTGTTCGTAAGACGTTGATCGAACGAGTTCGTAATGGTGCTATCTCGTTGCTTGGGCGCGTTGGCCAGGTTGATATGCCTCATCTGTCATGGACTGTCTTCATTGGCCACCTCTTTTCATGGACTGTCTTCATTTGGTTTAGTTCCTGAATGCCGTGCCTAATGAGAGTTCCTCGAATAATTTATCTAATCTCAATTTTGAAACAACTATAGCCGATAGCAAGAATTTGAATACGAAATCGATACCACCCTTTCCCACAAAGCGTGGTTTCAAACTAGCTTCTTTAAATATAGCTAGTTTGATAAAACATATAGATGAACTGAGAATTCTGCTTGTCAGTTATCCAGTAGATATCCTCTCAATCAACGAAACTAAACTTGATAATTCGAGTAATGATTGCGAAATACATATCCCTGGGTATGAAATACTTCGCCGAGATAGAGACCGACATGGTGGAGGTGTTTGTTTCTATATTAGAACCACTATTAATTTTTCAATACGTGAGGATTTAAAGTTTAAAAATTTGGAAAATTTATGTGTTGAAATTCGAAAACCTCGATCTAAACCATTTGTTGTTGTCAACTGGTATAGACCACCCAATTCTCCTGTTGAGTTGTTTACTTCTTTTGAGTCCCTTATCGGACGACTTGATGCAGAAAATGTCGAATTTAATTTAATGGGTGATTTTAACTGTAATTTAGCTAACGATAGTACTCAGTATGACAACAATACCCATCTGCTGTCGAGCATTACCGATACATATGGTCTTCAGCAGTTAATCAATGAGCATACCCGTATTACCAAAACAACTTCCACCTTGATCGATCTAATTTACACTAACTATCCAGACAGGGTAGTTTGTTCAGGAGTCTCGCATTGCGGTATAAGTGACCATAGCCTAATCTATGTCTACCGCAAATTATCTTTAAATACTGTATCTAGTAAAGGAAATAACTACATTACCTATAGAAATTTTAAGAAGTTTAATCGAGAAAACTTCCGTAGTGATATTTCATCTCAAGACTGGAGTTACAATTTATCTAACACTCAAGACCCTAATCTAATGTGGGCTGAATGGAAAAGTAAATTTTTAACTATAGCAGATAAACATGCTCCAATACGTACTAAGCGTATTCGATTGAAGAACTCTCCATGGATAACATCTGATTTAAAAAAACGTATGCATGATCGTGACATAGCCAAAATAAAAGCTATGCACTCTACTGTCCCTGGTGATTGGGACAATTTTAGAAGATTGCGAAATATTGTAAATAAGGAAATTAAACTCGCTAAAGAGTCTTATTATAGAAATGCATTTATGCAGCACAGTGGCAATTCTCGAAAGACATGGCAGATTGTCAATGACCTGACCTCGCGTAAATAAAAAAGAAGATCTGTCAGGGAATTAAATTTGAATGGTAATTCTATATCTAACCCATCAGATTTATCTAATGCATTTAATGAGCATTTTTCGACAATAGGACCTAAACTTGCTAGTGAAATTCCAGTAAGCAGTAGTCATACGAGTTACACTGATTATCTCATTAACACTGACAAAAGGTTTCAATTCACGCAAACTAACAATGATCAAGTATTTTCAGTGTTAAGCCAACTATGCAAATCAAAAGCAACCAGTCTTGATCAGATCTCAGCCAGACTTGTTTGAGAATGTGCTGATCTTATTTCTAGTTCCATAACCAATATTTTTAATCTTTCATTAATATTGGGTAGACTTCCTGAAGATTGGAAATGTGCCAAAGTTACTCCAATCTTAATGAATAACTACCGCCCAATTTCTGTGATTTCAGTAATGGCCAAGGCCTGTGAACGAATAATCTACAATCAACTTTATGCATACATGTTAGAACATGATTTGCTATCCGAACACCAGTCGGGGTTTCGTTCTTTGCATTCAACGGCTACGGCTTTACTTGAGGCCACTGATAGTTGGGCTTACAATATTGACCGCGGCAATATTAATGCCGTGGTATTTCTAGATCTGAAAAAGGCTTTCGATACGGTCAACCATGAGATCTTGTTGTCTAAACTCAGAAACTATGGAATTCACGGAGTTGCCTACAAATGGTTTAAGTCATATTTGGAAGACCGTAGGCAGAAATGTTTTGTTAACGGGTCACTTTCAAAAAAATGTAGTCAAGAAAAAGTGCGGAATTCCTTAAGGAACGATCTTAGGACCGCTCCTGTTTCTGGTATCGTTCCAGGACCGCTCCTGTTTTAAAATGGGAGTTTTGAGAAAGGTTTGTAGATGAGGATAAGGT